TGTACAGATGCTGTAGCTGTTGCTTGTGCTTCTCCGGAAGCAGAACCAGTTGAAGAAACAGCGGTAGAATCTACTTCATCCTGTCTACCATCTAATCTAAAATTTTTAAATATAACGTTATAAACATATTATATTATTTTTAAATGAATTATCTTCAAATTAATCCTCTTATTCTATTACTACAAACCTATGTTGTTTTAAAAGTATACAATTCCCACCCTCTGTAACATTTAAATTGTATACATACAAATAACCATCGGCACTAGCCACTAGTAGCTTTGGTACCGTCTGTGTCCTAAAAGAAAAAACAAAATGTACATAAATAAGAAAAATACAGAAGTACAATTTATTCAAACTTACACATTAATGGCACAAATATTTTTTAAACCCTGAAATGGTAAATGAACGCTTGCAAATGCACGTCCTTGATTAAAGACATCTGTTACTTGAGAAGGCAAATAATTTGCTGATGCAGATACTGCTTTTGTCAAATAACCCATCCAGCTTTGTGATTCTTCAGCTTGAGCTTGTCGCGGTCTATGCAAAACCAGTATACATAAATGCATATTGATATTTACATAAAAAATATTTCATTATTATAAATGATATACGTACACTTCCTTTGGTTCTTCTAATTTGAAAATGTGTACAGTTTCAGTATTGCTAGAACAACAAAGAAACATAGAATCCAAACTGAAGGCCAGACTGCTAATAGATACACATCTTTTAACTCCTCGACGAAATTCAAATAATTTGGTTCCATCATTTACCTATCAAAAACATAAGTTTCACTATAAATATAATATATATTTATTATATATTATATAATAAATTATAAATAATTATAAATATAATATATATATATATTACAACTAAACATACTTGAAAGACTCTAATTACAGTTCCTTTCTCAGAGGCTGTAGCAACTTTAGCGCCTTCGGGAGTGAATGCAAGAGCTGCGAGGGGACTATCATGTGCAGGTATCATTGTTTTAGCTTGCTGTAAATAAAAATATTAAGTTTATAGATTTTTTACAATACATTTTTAAAAGAAGTTTGATTATATATATGTAAAAATATTTACAAGATTAGAAGCATCAAATATCTGAACTTCTCCAATTGTATTTGAACCTGGATAGGCTAGACAAGTATTTTCACTGAGCATTGACAGTGCACAAAGTCCTGAGAGATTTGGTGGTGTATCACGTATCGTATGTAATACTTTCATGTCTTTTATATTATGAATGTACAACGATTCTTCTAAACATACTACCAATCTCTGTAAAAAAGTAATAACAATAATTTTATTAAATATGATTCAAAAACAAAGGTGTATATTTTTGAACAAGCAAGTTTAATGCTAATTCGTTCTTTAATATATATGTATAAATAAATACAAATCTTTGTTAGTATAACTTTGTAACATACCACTCTGTTCAGTTTCACAGCCAAGATGGTGTTTGAATAACTGTAGTTACAAATTTCTGTTCCTTTTCTAAAATGACATACTTTAAGTTTACGGGGGGATGATAAACTAACAACTGCAACAAGACTGCTGCTGAATAATCTTTCAACGATACAAATGTCCTCTGTATCTGAAATAAACATATGTTATAAAATAAAGAGTCTTCATATTAAATATATTTAATAATAAACTAATTACCATTTTCATATATTTTTTCAAGATGATCAAAAGAGCTGAGAGAAAAAAGTTTGTAACCTGTCTTCGATCCCACAGCTAATGATCTGTAAATAAATGAAGATAATATGTAGGCATAGAGATAAATAAATATTACTGTTTCCAATCTATAAAAACAAATTACTTATTTTAAATAGTTTATCCAATTACAAAAAGAACTATATAAACATGAAAATAAATAAATATTAGACTCTTCTTTGTAATGTAAAGAAGAAGAAGAAGTATTCAAAAACAAAATGAAGTGCTCACATAAAAATTTGATTATTTTTTTAGTAGCGCATAATACGCAATAAAATAAGAGCACGAAGATAACTGGTTAAAACGCAGGAATCAGTGAAAGGAAAAATGGGGTGATGCAATTAATGAAAACAACGCGAATAATAACGATGTATAGAAAAAGCACAAACGTAAAACCTCGATTGTCCATGAACGATGACGCCATGCGCGCGACGGAGGGAAAAACCATATCGCACGTTTTATACGTATAAGAAACTTAGATATTCTCCCCGCCTATATCTCACATGAATATTCTCCCACCCTTATAGAAAGGAGAACAAGGTTAGGAAACAAAGAATGGATATCGTAGTTTTCATCGAACTCGTTCGATCCTCTAAAGAACGTAATAACACTTACGTGCAGTCTTGATTAAAATTAACAAAGAAAACACCATTTGGAGGATCGGCAGTCTGATTTGTGAGGTTCATTAGTCCTGTTATCCCGTATTTGAATCCTTGCGTTAATACATCCACGTTACGCGCGAGATTTTGCATAAATCGCACGTATGATGCTCGTACGAATGTTCCTCTCCGTCTGCTTACTATCCTTGGATTCGTTTTTCTGCCTCCCTCACGCTTTCGCTCTCTCTTCTCGCTTTCTCTCCTTCCCACTCCTCTCCTCTTCCTCCCCTTTCACTCTCACTCTCAACTCACTGCTTCTTTCTTTTCTACAAACACACACGCACGCGCGCGTTTATGTTATGGGGACCAACGACCAACTAGTTCAACTTCGAATGATTCCTACAAGTGACTGTACTTGCTATTCCATATTGAACAGCTGACGCTTACAGCTGAATTTGTGAAATGGAGGAACGTACGAATCGCTGTTCCACGTTCCGTATATTCCGCGTTACCATAGCAATAGATACGCGCGACTCATCATCAGCTGTCAATAGCCTGCCTGGCTATGAAACACTATTACGTTTTCTGAACTGCCTTTTTACGTTTATTACTTGCTATCAATTTTCGTACATCAAATAATATTTTATTTTTGTATTATAATCATAATATTTATTTTTAGCAAAATAAATTTTTAGAAATAATCATATTTATTTTTAGAAATAATAATAATATTTCAAATACAGTTAAATTTTTGTAATAGTATATAAAAATATACGTCGAAACATGATTTTATAAAAAGATACTGTATATATGTATTTTATATGTACATAATAATAAAAATAAAATTGAATAAAAATATTTATACGTTTAAATTTTATATGCTTAATCATTTACGTTTTTTACGAAACAGGTTTGTTACTATTGTGAATTGATAGAGAATTTGTTTGTTTGTAAAAAATTCGTAGTAATCGTATTTATACATATTCAACAAATCCAAATAAATTACAATATTTTCACTAGCAAATAAATATCGAGTATTTCAATTAATGCTAAATTCTTTAACCTCTTCAATACTATCGTTGACCTTAATTGGCAGCCAGTAAATAAATAACACATCCGATTGTTAATTTTAGTTGACTTCAACAAAATTACACAAAATCGATTGTTTACATTAATATATATATTAATTATTGTCATATATAAAAATATTATATTTATATTATTGTCATATTTAAAACCAAGAAATCTTTTCTCTTTTGTTTATTATCATAAATATTTCAAATTGTAAACATTTCTAAGACTTTATTAAAATATAAAAATTAAATAAAAATGCATCGCGCCATATTTGCTTTTGCCCGTCAATAATACTACGCAAGACAAGCGTCGTACCGAAGAGGTTAATAAATATTTATTTTTTATTTTATCTTAAACTAGAAATTTTATAATTTTTTGTATAAAGTAAATTAATAATAATTGTTAAGATTTTCAAATATAAAAAAATCAATCTATAAAATAGATTTAATTGTTTACTAAATGTATCGATTAATAAAATTATCGATATATTTATAAAATATAAGTTTTCTTGTAAATACGATCTGTAACTACTTTCAAGGCCTAATATCAGTTGCGTCAAATGAACTATATTTGCTAATGAAATACTCCATTATATCTTCTGCAATTTTTATTTAATCGATAAAATAAATCAAGATATTAGTTTAATTTTATTATATATTTTAAACTTTTGTAGGCTGTTTCAACGTAATATATTAAGCATTACCACAATATTCATATGTACATTTTAAGCGTGCATAAAGAAGGCATATACGAAATATGCAATAATTATATTTGGCTTTATGTGAGATGATGATACTTGTATCTTTTCTCAAGGTTATTCATTTAACAATAGCATTGGATGAGAAACCAAATGCGTTAACGCATTATAATTTAATATAGTATTATTTAATAATAACTATTGTATTACCATAAATGTAACAATTAATTTAATAATAATAAATAATTTAAAATGTTCTTTTATGCATTTCAGTTCTATAAAATGTCTGCTATACATTCACATTTCGTGAGAAAATCGTCATTCAAAATAGAGCACGTGATCGAGTAAGAATAATTATATTGTGAACGTCAATTGGTCATGTCTAAGCAGATAATTTTATCGACGGGAATTGCTACAAAGTAATACAATAATTACGGATGACATTACAAATAATCCAAAATTGTTCGATTGCATAACTGTTAATGCATATCAAATATTATCTTATCATCACGTTTTTTTTTCAAATTTTTGTTTATATTTCACGCGATAATACAAATTTAAAATTGACTTATCGTCAAATGTGTTTTTTTTTATATACGACAGACATTTATTATTTCAATAACCATGCTTAAAATAAAACAAATTATACCTTCATATTTATAAGCTCATTATACGTACATATCTATTTCATACATATTGATTATTTTGCTTAAATGTTTTATATAATCAAAAGAATAAAAAAAAAAAATAAAAGAAATCAAGCGATAATCTCGTTAATGATATATACATTTATTAAATTATCTAATATTTCTATCTTTCAAATAATAATAGTTTATAATACGATTATAAAACGAAAAGATTATTAAGGTATTATTTTTTTGGTATACTTTTTCTAGGTATTAGGTTTCAGTTCTCTGTGGTCGTGTAAACCTGAGATCGTCGCGAAAAAGAACACATATGCGTGGCACGTTTTTCTGCAACACATTTACTTTTTCCCACTATCTTTCTCCCTTTTATCCTTTCGCCAAGCAGTATAACAACAGCTGGACAGCAATTGATTAAGTTAGTGACTCGGCGACAGCTGAGCTTGCTACTGCTTGTTTTCGTTCGTTGCTTTAATATTTAAATCACATAAGTAACATTTTGCAAAATGTATTAATCTAAAAATATATAACCAAACGGCAATATGAAACGAAATATATATATTTAGCTTAATTAATATTCTTTATATTGACATTTAAACGAGTTAGACGTGCGGTTTAAAGTCCAACCATCATCGCCATGGATAAATCCTACATACATCAGATCGTCACAGAACCTATAAAAAATCTTCTCCGATTACATCGTATAAAAGAGTAAGATGTTAATTATTTTTAAATGAATTTGATTATTTTTACAATTTTTGATTGTGTATGACAATTATTTTTCGAGTTATTCTACTCTCTCTCGCTCTCTCTCTCTCTTTTTTCTTTCTCTTTAACTTTCTCTACTTTTACTTCTTTCTTTTGTCTTTTATTATATTACTATCCGCTTTTATTGTTCTCTTTTTTATTAATTTTTTTTTCTTTTTCAATGCTGCTGGTATTGTTTTATTGGCAAATTAGAAATTCTTTAGGAAGTAGTATTATTTTTGAAAAAATTAAAATAATTACAATTGTAAAAAAAGAAAAGATTAATGTCAGTATTTAAAAAATAATTTTTTGTGTATTTGAAAAATTGTATTATTAAATAAAAAGTATAAAATATAGATATTTATAAATAAATAGACAGTAACAAGTAATAAATGGCAAATAGTTCTAATTAAACCTAAATTAATTACTGATTGTTTTATATCAAATAATTATCATTAATATTAATATTATAAATAAATGTAATATATTTTTTTTAAATATATTTCAAAAATTATTAAAAAAACTAACATTTAAATTGACCCATTGAATAATACATAAATTTTTTACTTTATATATAGCACGTTACGTATTATACGATAATGATTTGTAATATTTTAAGATAGATCATGCTTTATAATTAACTTAATTTATTCAAATTACTAATGTAAGTATTTCCCAATGCATTATTTTTATGTTATAAGTAGGTATTCATTTTATATTTATTTTTCTTATTCTTGTTTGCCTATTTTTTCTGTTTCTTATCTAGTAACGCTAACATATGCATGTATAGGGTAATTTGAAGTAACTGAGTGGAATGCAGTTACACTGCTTATAAATAAATAGAACATCAATATCACAAAAATGGTGTTCTACAGAATAATACAAAAATCTAAGGTATTTGGGCATACAACAGTAAAGGCTCATCAGCATGTTGGAGAGTATGGAAATAGTTTCCTTTAAGACATAGATAATAAGTATGTACTATATTTTATTATACATGATGTATGACCACAGGATATGATTGTTCATAAAATAAAACTCTTTAAATATTTAAAAATGAACAAATATCACACTCACACATACATATACACACAAACACATATCATGTGGTTGTATGAGCTTCCCATTTGCTTGAATTATTTTATTAATAGTAAAGTAAAAAATGATTTTTAAAAAATTAGTGATTTTGCTATACTCTCTAAGTATAACTCCAAAGGTCTTATGATGTAACATTTAATGATCTTTTTTCTTATGTAAGAACATTGATCTGTTTCATTATACAATAATCTTCAAGCCATACTTTTATTTATGTAACTATATAATGTATAAAAGTAAAATTTGATTTATTATAGAATAAAATGGATGAATTCACGAGCATGTACAAACCAGGCATATAATCCAACTGCCATAGAACATGTGGCTAATGTGGCAACCCATGGAATTTGGATAGTCCCTTCTATAATCTGCAGTTTAGAACTTGTTCGACGTTCTATAACATGGACACAGCTTATTTCTGCGTGCGTTTACGGAACTTCACTGATTCTTGTTTTTGTAGTATCCACATTTTTTCATAGTGTCCATTACTGTAATCATAACAGGTAATAATGAATTATACTTTTTATGAATATATATTTAATAAATTATATTACTATTATATATTTATATTTGATTGTGGTTTATATTTCAGACAATTAAAAGACGCATTGCATCGCTGTGATCGTGCCATGATTTATATCTTTATAGCTGCTAGTTATTTTCCATGGTTAAATGTAGATCATTTCCCAGGTGATAAACTACTTTTTACAATGAGGTATGCTGTTTGGATTATGGCAATATTAGGAATCCTTTATCAACAAATTTTCCATGAGCGTTATAAAATGCTTGAAACCATTATGTACTTGGTCATAGGTATTGGTCCAAGTGTAGCAATTATTAATGTTGTAAGTTAGAACTGAAACATAATAATTAAGTGTACATATAACAGAATTTTTTTTTAAATACATCAATATAAAATAATTCATTGTTGATTGTTTAATATATACATATTTATCTTATTATTTTCATATAATTCTAAAATGTTTTGAATTATTGCAGAATGACTACTACAACATAACTGAATTAAAAACTGGAGGATTAATTTATATTATGGGTTTAATATTTTTTAAATCAGATGGCAGAATACCTTGTGCACATGCAATTTGGCATCTTTTTGTGGCTGCTGCTGCTGGATTTCATTATTATGCAATTTTAAATCATGTATTTCCTGCAATAGGTTCAACGGTCTCAATCGATCTACCAAATGTGCCACCATTACCACATATAGTACAATCTCACCTAGAGATTTAGATTGAGATATTATATTTTTCCTATATATCAACAGTTTTGCAACAAAAAAAAAAGATATTGAAATATTCAATGAATATTCAGTAAAGACTGTATTTGGTTCCAATCTTTCATATAAACAAAGTTTTTATAGAAAAATTTGTTATATATGAGTAGAAACTTTAAAAAATTTCAATCTTTTTATCACTATTAACAATTTTTATCAAAATTATTACAGCCATTAAAAAAGTATGCAAAATGTAAATATAAGATTAGTGTAAAGTTTTAGTAAAACAGTATTCGTAATATGAGTACCGAATAATAGGTATTGTTTATAGTACGTATAATCTATTTAATATTGAGAATATATTTTTGATTTAATTGTTGACCATTATTTTATATTACTTCCAATATGTGTGCATACTGATGATGGTAATTTTCATATATTTATAATATAGTTTAATATATATAATTATATAGAGAGAAAAAGAAATTGTTCTCTGATGACATAAAAAGCCAAAGATATGCTTTTCAAAAGATTTTTTGGAAAATAGAAAAATATTATATAAATTATTACAAACAGTGACAACTTTTAGAAAGAATATAATTCTTATTAAGTATAGTTTTCCTTTTTAACTATCTAATGTGCCAAAATTAATCTTGTCACTTTCTTAATACTAAATTTTTCCAGTAAATAACTTTATAATGCTATATACATATATATATATATAGCATAAGTATAAAATTATATATATAAAAATACAAGATTATATATATATAGTTTATTAAAAATTTGTTTATTATATAAATTAATTAATATTTGAGTTGATTAAATGTTATCATAATTACCATGTTTTATTAGAAAAATTTTGTTTTGTAAAAAATATTGTTTATATAATTTAAACAATATACAAATTTATGTAAATAATACGTATATTAATATTGTGAAATAATGAAAGCAAAAAAAAACAAGTGTCTAAATATGTGGTGATAATACTATTTATTAAAAGAAAAAGAGTACAAAACAATTACTAATTGAATATTAAATCTTTCACTACATACTTTGACTGCTTATAATTTGCAGTGAACCAAGTATGTAAATATGAATATGTAAAATGTGTAATATTAATGTTATTATTAATATGATTTTATATTGATAATATGGTAATTATGTGAAATAAAAATATTGTAAGATACAAACTATGCATTTTATTATGGTATATAACATTTAAATAAACCATCATTTATTTCTTTATAAAAATAGTAATTAATAATCATTTAAATTAAAATATATGTTAATACTACTCTAAGAGCCATCTATCCTTTAAGGTCAATGATACCAAACGGTAACTATGGTAACAATGCCAAACAAATTGATAACAGTTTATGACAAACAAGAATTTTTTTTTTATACACTTAGCAAATCTATATACACAATTTCAATAATAATTAAAACTAATACGATGCATATAATATAATGTAGAATATTACAAATTATTTATATCATTGTTTATTATAATATGTAACATTTACAACGTTGTTTTATATTTTGTTTTACTTTTTTGGCATTATGTGTATAAAATAATATTGCTAATTTAATTCGTGAAATTAAATTATACAATGAACATTATGAGCTATAGTGAAATTTTAGTATCAATTTATAAATAAATGATTTATATTAATATTTATATATATATATATAACGTAGCAAATTTTATAGAAAGAAAAAAATAAATTGTAAAATGGAACAAAGTGAAAATAATATTACGGGAAACAACAAACTTTTATCTACTAATATATTGAAAAAGCTACCATCATGGTTGGTAGAAATGACTGAGTATGTATTTGATAAAATTGTATTATATTATTTTTCATTTCTGAAATAATATTTACATTTTTTTTAGCAACAACATATAAATATTTTATTGAAATTGTTTAATTTAATAGGAACGTTAAGAGATTGAATGTGACTGATGATTATAAGACATTGCAAATAGAAAAACATTCAATACATAAAGAACATACATTTGAACAAACTCCTTTAGAAGATAAAACATCTGTTTTAAAAAATGATGTTGATAATTTGTAAGTCCTTATTCAGATTTATTAATATTATAATTTTCAATGTAAGTTTTCAAAGTATTTAATTCAATTTTTTTAATTAATAATTTAGATATGGACAATCTTACAAACCATTTTTTACAATTAATAATATAAAAGATGTCGATGGTGAGATTTTATTACAATCGTGCTCTAGTAAATCACTTCCCAATTCTCCCAATCATGAAACAAATATCAAGCATACTTCCACTCGTGCTTTTTCTGCTGTTGTTGATTCAATTGATCAAAATTCTGTTGAAAGAGATTTTAGTGCACTTGACAAATATATGGAAAAAAGAAAAATTGATAAATACTATGACAAAATTAAATCTACAAGATTTCAAAACAGTGGAAAATACAATTATGATCCGCAAACTCTTGATGATTTTGAGAAACAAAATCATGATTATTCTCAATTAAATATATTGAAAGAAGGATATAAGATGGACAATCAATTGTTAACACAACAGGGATATAAAAATTATTCTAAACATAGAAATAATGCTATTAGAAAACAAGATACTGAAAATAATTTACCAAGTGGTATGTTTTTGTAATATTTTAAATATTAAAATTAAATGCGTGTTTTAATTATCACCAATTTTATCTTCAAATTATTAATTTATTTAGAAATCATGAATTAATTAATTTCTTTATAAATTATAATAGGAATCATTAAGAGAAGATTAGATTATTTGTCTGGTTTAGCACCAGAAGAAACTACAACAAATGAAATAACAAAATCAAATTCAGTATATCATGGTGATAGAAAAAATAGTGAACTAACAAGAAAAAATTATCATAAATTTGTTTCTTCAGAAGAAATTGGCCAGAATAACAGTACTAGTTCGAAACAAAAATCTACAAATAGAAATTTGCCTAATTGTAACTCTAGTTTTCAACAAAATGAAAAACATTCAATTGAAGGTAGGTTATTGTGAAGAAATTAATTTATATGTAATAGTTTGCACTATTGATATTTTAAATAAACTCAGATATAAAAAAAAGTCCTATAGTTTGGTTTTTATGTTTTTCATCATGGTACATAACTCGCAGTTTGAACTTCATGAAACTCTTAGTGATCTTTTAACTTGTTTATTATCAAGATTACAGATCAGGTCAGTGTACAAAGTCATATTTCTTAGAAATAATTTGAACTATAATGTGGTATTATTTGGTTCTGTCATAGATAGTTGCAGAGACTTTATTGTACCTGATCTTCCTTGTGGTCAACTGTTAATCATTGATATTCTCAGTACTTGGGGAGATAAACATTATGTAGGTCTCAATGGAATTGAGATTTTTTCTGATACAGGTCAACTTGTATCCATAAATAAGGTAAAAAATTTATTATTAATATAAATATTTAATAAAATCTAACGTGACTATACTTAGTACTAATTATACAATTTTTTATAGATATCAGAAGATCCATCAATTATAAACCAATTATCAGAACATAATGATTCTAGTATATATAATAATCTAATTAATGGAGTGAATAGAACAAGGGATGATGCTAATTTATGGCTTATCCCATTTACAGAAGGAAATCATCATTACATTCATATACTTTTTCAAGATATTGTAACAATTGCAATGATTAGAATATGGGTAAGTTTTTGTCAAACATTACTTTTGATGAAATTTTCATGACTATTTATTATTTTTAGAATTATAATAAATCTAGAATACATTCATATAGAGGAGTTAAAGATATCACAATTACATTGGATGATACACTTATTTTTTATGGAGAAATTGCTAGAGCATCTGGAGACTTACAAGGCAATGTTAATTCTTTCGGAGATGTAAGATATTTTAACATATGTTTTTCTTGATATGTTAGAAATTATTTCTATAAAATATCTTATTTGTATTTACAGACAATTTTGTTTACGACTGATGAGAATATTTTAGAAATGGTATCAATAAATGATGAGATGTTTACAATTACGAATGATGATATCCTTAATTATGCAGAAAAAGAAAAAGATAGACCAGCAACAGTAACAACTGCTTCAAATGTAAATAATATTAAATTATTATATTGTTACACATGGATTATGAACACATTTTGAAATTTTATATTATTATATTGTAGATAACATTTGAAAGACGTAAAAGTGACTGCTCAGTTGGAAATCGTTCAAATGTATCTAGTGGTAGTGAATATAATGCATTATCCCTTTCCTGTAAAGAAATTCAATTAGTTATTCTTTCAAACTGGGGTGCTGCTGGAACAGTAGGTAAATATTTCATATCATAATTAATTGATAATAGTTATATTTACACTATTTAATTTACGTATAGGTCTTAATGGAATAGAATTCATTGGAGATCAAAATGTGATTTTGCCAACAATTAATGTTAACTTAAAATGCAATTTAGATAATACAAATCTTTTAAAATTAATTAACGGGTATAATATAACAACTGATAAAGATCATATGTGGTTAATTAATTATATAAATGTAAATGAAGAAATTATTATAACAATTACATTTGATAAGGAGGTATACATCACTGGTATGAGATTCTGGAATTATAATGCATCTTTGGAATTGTCTTATTGTGGCGTAAGCTTTTTATAATAATAAAATAAAATAAAATAATATTGACATAGTTAATGCCAATACAAGTATTTGGTATATAATAATTATTCAATGTAGGTAAAAAATTTATTTATTAAATTGGATGGAAAACCAATATTCGAAGAAAATTGTGATAGTTTTTTATTGAGAAGAGCTCCTGGAAATTGTCATTATAATTTTGCACAGGATATAAGTTTTATTTGTCATTCTGACAATGAGTTAACATTATCAAAGTTTAATACTTCTTCTATTTTACTCCAAAAAGGTAATAATATAAAAATTTATGTATAATATCTATCAAAATATTATACATGATGTTTTGTAACTAATAGTGCAAATGAGCAAGGAGTGGTTCTATATGAAAAACTAAGTTGAAAAACTAAAAGAACATTTTTTCATATAGAGACACTCTATATATAATATATCATTAAATAAATATAATATATGTTATTAATTTTTTTATATTAAAGAGATAGAAACTATTTCATTTAATATGGATTATGAAGTACCATCAATGCCACAGGGTTTTGTATATCAAATAATGATATTTTCAAGTTGGGGTGATTCTTATTATGTGGGTCTCAATGGTATTGAATTATTTGATATTAATGGTCATCAAATAAAATTAAATAAAAATAGTAAGTATATAAAAGAAAAATAATTAATATTTTTTGTCATTTGATAATATTGTCCAATATTATTCTTTAGATATAACAGCTTATCCAGAAAGTGTAAATATATTAGAAGGAATTGATAATGATGTAAGAACACCAGATAAATTGATAGATGGTATGAATGATAATAACGATGGTCAACATTCATGGTTAGCACCAATTTTACCTGGAGAAGTAAGTAATATTAATATTATTTTTATCTTAATACAAAAATTATTAACAATTATATTAATTTTATGATATTTTTAGACAAATCGTATTTATATCATATTTTCTTATCCTACAACTGTGAGTGCTATAAAAATATGGAATTATGGAAAAACTAAATCAAGAAAAATAAAAGAATTTGCAGTAAGCTAACATTAAATTATAAAGTTTATATAAAAGACAAAGAAAAAATATAATAATAAATATATTTATCTTCTTTAGATATTAGTGGATGATATATTAGTTTATAATGGAAAGTTAAGTGAAAATAATGTACGTGAAATGATACAATTTTCTAATACCAATAGTACAAACAATATCGAGTCATCTTTAACTAGGTAAATATCGTTTCAAAAATATATAATTAATATAAAATCAAATGTTATTATATTTAAAAATATTTTGTAAAAAAATCACCATAAATATTATCATTGCACTTTCAGCTTGGAACAAGGAAGATATACAGTAGATTTACAAAGAGCTACTTCTGGTATAAATTCTCTACCTGATCCAAATCTTAGACCTTATACGTCTTTGATACAAATGAAAAAGAAACCTCATTTTTAAAAAATTATTATAATATATGATTTTTAATTAAATTTACATAAATCATTCGAAATTATACTTTATTTACAAATTAATAATACGAGGTGATCTAATATAGTACAAATTGAAATTTTATATTAGATTGTTTAATAAGTTCATGTGTTTCTAACCTTTTATTTATTTAGAAAAAATCACATGAATTTATTGAACACATACACACACAATTTAATAATTCGATTCAATATTCATGGCGACATCTTTTTTACACTTGAATAAAAATTATGACCAAAAAACGGCATTTAAAAACAAATATAATTATTATGCATGGACATATTATACCTGAATTCCCGCTTACGTCTTAAAAGTGACAACACCAGAACTGAGAGAGATAAAAAATGGAGAGGTTATATTTTATCTCTTTCTGTGTGAACTAATTGTGCAGCCCTCCATATTGTGAGATTTTCAAAATCTGGAAAAAGAGTGGAAGTTCCAACTTTTTCAAAGTTGATGACCTCTTTTTTTTAGATAGCAAACGTCGACAGTTACGTTGGTCTAATTGGCGGTTTGATAAGTCCATCGGAAGACCATGAAATTGTAAAAAAAAAATTTGATGACCTTTTTTTTTTTGTAGTCATCAAGTTCAAAACCCCATCGTAAAAACGATAAAAACGGCGTACCGCAGGGAGAAATACTTGTTCATACAGAGATCGTACACGGATCGTGGTGGTGGTGGTGGTGGGGGTGCACCTGTAAAATTTGATGACTAAAAAANAAAAAAAAGAAAAGGTATATGGTGTCCGAACACATGGACATGAGTCGCTTTCATAGTGTGCCACTCCGGCGTGCCCGCCAACTTCGGTTGCACTCGACTTCTTTCGACATCCCGAACACACGGACATGGGTAACTTTCATTGTGTGCAATCCCACAGTGGCACAGGGAGAGGGTACGATTTACCCACGATCTGGCAGCACAGAGTAGAAATCTTCCGCGATCTGGCTTCACTGGACAGAACTCCGATCATAACATTTCTAACACTGATGAAAACAAATACCATTGATAGCTGCGCACGCAACAAGAGAAGCTGCGCGCGCAACAAGAGAAGTTGCGCGCGCAACAAGATATAGACCTGGTGAGGCTTATTTCTAACGAAGATAAATACATTTCATATAATTTATAATTAATTTAATTATTTTATTTCACGAGTAAGTGTTGTTTTATTGCAATGAATCCTACGGAACCTACAACTACTGAAACGCTAAGGTATGTATTTACTTTTAAAATTTGTACCAAAATAATTTACAAATTTTTTATTAACCTTAACCTATAAATAATACATTGATGTTAAATCATTTGCAAGTTGATTTTCATTATTTTCATTTCTTTCATTAGATGAATTCATATTTAATTTATTTTCTAAAAACGTGTGCGAAGCTGGGATAAAATCTATTTTAGTATACTATCAACAATGTGTGCTTACTTTTATCGTTGATATATTTTTTCTTATAAAAATAAAATCCAATATCAATTTAATAAAATTTTATATTTTATTAAATGTATAGTTCAAAAATGAAGGACGTAATAGATGTATTAGCGATGCAACGAGAGAAAAGAAATACATTGCAGAAAAGTATTACAATTGATTATACGAAAGCTAATGACAATTTTGCAGTTTCAAGATTCATATTTGAGTGTGGTAAGTTTATATACTATGTTTAGTATATTATATTTTTGAAAATATTCTAAATAAAGTCTTTTTTATAGGCTTGAAATTAGAAGTGCATTTTCTAACAATTGCAACAGCAGCAACTTTATATCATAGGTTTATGCAAGAAGCTACTGCTCAAGGATATGATAATTATGTAAGCTATTTAATTAGATACATAGTAGTAAGAAATAAAAATAAAATGTAAAATAATATTATGAAGTAAATGTATATATCTATTCGCTAATAAAATTGTATTTTTTACAGTTAATAGCAGCAACTTGCTTACATCTGGCTGGAAAAGTAAAAGATGATAATTTAAAAATAAGAGATGTAATGAATGTTTCATATAGCACACTCCACAGAGGTTCACAACCACTGGAATTAGGTGAACAATATTGGAGTATGAGAGATGCTATTGTCCAAGCTGAACTTCTCGTAATGCGTATGTTAAAGTTTCAAGTAAGCCCGGTGCATCCGCACAAAGTAAGTATTTTTTTTATCTAATTATAGTCACTATATCAAATTAGAAAATGTTGCATTTATTATATACTAAATTCTTTATATTTACGATGTTTTCGTTTTTCTTTTCTCATTAACCCTTTCGCTACGGGGCGGATCTCCGCCGCGGTACTCCCGCAGTACGGCGCTCTACACCGAAACAGTGCACGGTGCACGCAACGTTCGAGCCGGTGTCGTAAGACTGATGATCGAGGCATTTGGTTTATTATTGAAGC